TCATCAGGTTCAGAGCAAGGTGTCCTTATATGGCACTAGCCAGTCAGGCAGCCCTCCATTCCTGCCCCACAGCCAGGGGCAGCCCAGCATGGCTCTTCTCTGGAGAGGGATGTGTGCCTTTGCCCCAAGAGGCCCTCGGAACACACAGGCTCTGCATCATGGCCCACACGCTCCTCAGCTGGACTCTTCACACGCCAAGAAGTGGCAGGCAGAGCCTGGCAGTTACTTACCAGGATGGGACCTAAAACGGCCAGCCATTCTGAGGGGTGCAAGCAGATGGGGGAAGCCTCAGGGAGGGTGCTGGGTTACTCTCTGATGGGGCCCTTTGAGTGTTCTGGGGGAGGCTAAGCAGGGCTGCACCTTGAACCCTGGGTCCAAACTGTGGCTAGTTCCTGTGTGTAAGGGCAACACTCAGGATGCTCAAGCGAGGAACAAGGTGCACTACTTACGCCTCCCTGAGATGACCCGGAAGCCTCCTGGGGGAACCCTCACCCCACGGCACAGCCCTGGGATGCTCTGTGGCCGTACCTGAGTGGGAAGTACAGGTGTCCTGCCGCTGGGCATTAATGGGCATAAGCAGCAATTTCCTTCTGGGCCTGAGGCACTGCTCTGGCCACACTGCCCCGCTCTCAGGCAGCCCCACTTGCAACAGGGACCTGGTACCTCAGAGACACACAAGAGCTCTCACAGGACCCCTGGGAAAGGGAGTGGCAAGCAGACCCTGAGCAAAAGAAAAAAGTGCTGGTGGAGCCTGGATCCCTAGCAATCCAGCCAGGCCTTGTTAGGAACAGCAAAGGACACAGAGCAGAGGAGACAGACTTGATGGTGGTGGACTCCCAGGCTCGGTTCTGACTGCCTGCTGCCCCACAGACTTCCTATGTCCTCCCTCTGTCCAGGATGGAGCCAGCTGGGGACAAGGTGTGGCAAAGCAAAGGAGTGTGGAGGTTGGCAAGACGCCAGCCTGTGGGACACACTGGGCCCCTCTCAGAGGTGATCGAGGACTCGGGGTCCCACCCACGCCAAGTGTCAGCAGTCAGAGAGGTCTCATCTGGAGACTGGGAAGCCAAAGGAGTTCGCGCTAACTGGCTGGCAGTCCCCTATTCAAACGCTCCAGGTACACCGGTCTGTTTCAGGAGCTCGTGAGTCCTGCTGGTGGCCACCAGTGCCTCACCGTGAAGTCCTAGCCTCAGCCCACTGAGCAGCTGTGCCCTAACTGGGTATACACAGATACAGAATGGGGTATGCTCCAAAGCCACAAAGCCAGGCCAGTTCCAGGACAGGGCCACCTGCACAGCCACAGTACCTGAACACAGGTAAGGTGGAGCTGGCACTACTGGCAGGAACAGGGAAGATGTCAAGAGGACAGGAGACGTGTCCTCGCTGCTCCACAGGACCAGCCCAGCCACCATCTGGACTCCCACGAAACACAGCCCTCCTTGCTTCCACGGGCACCGCAGGCGCTGGACCAGCCTCACCAGCCCCAGTCCTCCTCCACCCAAGCAGGAGGGCTAGGTCCCTCTGGAAGCAGGGTGCTGCGGTGCAGCTACCTCAGAACCAACACAGCACAAGTACCATGAGCCACTGTAACGAGAGTAGGCTGAGGGGACCCTCCCCACCACCAGACAACTGCCCTTTGAGCATGGAGATGTGTGTTTGCCGCCACAAGCCAGCACCAACAGTTACTCCACAAACATGACCTGGGACACTCACAGACCAGCTGGAAGAGGCTCTGCCAGCGCATCTGACGCCCAGCCCAGGAAAGCAGGCCACAACTGAGCATGAGTAGGGTCACTCTCAGTGCCCAGCGGGACACTACATAGGGCATGAGGCCCCAGCTAGGGCCCTGCCATCACCACAGCACTGCCCGGGTCTCCTGGGCCCAGGGCCTCCTTTGCATGGAGTCTCTCTGCTCTCCAGGTCAAGAGAAAGCCAACCAACCTGCTGATGCTGACCTGTCGAAGGTTACCAGGGGACTAGAGCCCACAGCAGGCCTGGTCACACAGATACTAAGATCCATCAGAACCCACAGCCTGGCCTCTCTGTCTGCCTTCTCCCCAACCACACCCACCACACAGCCTGTTAAGGCTGCCAGGGACTGTGAGCCCCTTGCAGAGGGAGAGGCTGCTGGCTGCTCCTGTGGGGTCTGGAGCAACTCTGTGGCACCCAAAAGGGACAACAAAGCCACATGTATGTTCCTCCATGGAAGCTCCCAGGGGAAATGCCAAATACCAGCATAGCTTCTGTCCCAACTATCTGGTGACAGAGCTGGCCAGGGCCCCAGGGCCTGTTTCTCAGATGGGCACCAGCCCACCTGTAAGTTCCCACGCTGCAAGTGGCTCCATGTCTGTCTGGCACACCACATACTTGCCCTGATCTCCAAATTAATGGCTGGCATGCTGGCTTCCCCAGAACTGGCATGAGCAGATAGGGAGACTTTCAATTTAAAAAAGCCTCACCTACTTCCTTTTGCAACCCAGAGGTAATTACCGTATAATTAAAAAGAAGGAAGAGAAGTAAAGTAAGAAGACACAGGAGTTGGTAACTCACACAAATATGTCTGCACAAAGCTCCGCACTGTCATCGACAGCACCGCAGCCGGCTGGCCTCCCAGACATGTCCAGAGCCTACAACAACAATTCATCCCTCATTTCCCAGAGGAACTAGGGTGATCAAACCAGTCAGAAGGCTGCCTGACATGCTGGCAGGTCCTGCTGCAAACACAGCATGTTCAAACCAGACCTGTGGCAGGATGACCACTGCAGACTCACTGGCCACCGTGGCGAGGAGGGGAACAGAGCCAGCTCCTCCTAGAGCTCACCCCACCTGCCCATTGGAAACTCAGCTGGCCTCTGAGCCCTAGATCTGGCCCTCCCCTGGGGCCCCCAGTTCCCCTGCAGGGGGCCCTCCCACACATGGCTCCTAAGAAGCACCAGAGCTCAGTGTACCCGGCTGAACACAACATCTGAGCCCAGGAGACCCAAAGCAGGCCTATGTGTGCCTGCACGGCGCTCTGGGTGCTGCCTGGGAAATTCATCAGTCAGCGCCACCCAGCCTTGGTGGAGACATAAGCAGAAAACAAAAACAAACTACCAGCCACAACCGCAAACTTCCCCCTTTCAAACCTGTGGGTCCTGTGCACGATCTGCACTCTCCCCAAGGCTCCTGGGGCAGGGCAGGGTGCCCAGCCCCTTATGAGAGGGCGAATTTTCCAAAGGTGGTTGGGTTTCCCCCTAGACTGGAGGGCCCTCCTATCTTCTCACTGGTCTCACACCCACAAGCTCCCAGAGCCTCTGTGCCAGAGACACCCAATGAGGACAGGGCCTGTCCCAGTGATGGGGAGGACCCCAGAAGTGGAAGGTCCAGTGGATGGGGGCTGAGACAGTGACCCAGGCCTGTACTCTATGGAGTAGAGAGAGAAAATGCTGGCCTCCACCTACACATACACACCCTCCAGGGCTGCTTCCTGCAAACAATGCCATCGGGAGGCCGCAGAATAAGAACCAGCTGCCCCAAAGCCGGTCTGGTCCTTAACATGTCTCTCCATCCCAACCTCAAAATCAAGAGTCTTCCCCCCAGAAAGTTGGGGCAGAAGGTCTAGGCAAGGATCCCAAGGGCCAGCTCAGACATCTCACCCCTCCCTCCCTGATCTGTGTGTTTCCGGAAAACAAAGCCAGTGGCCAGGGCGGAAGGCAGAGGACGCTGCCAGCCCAACTGGGAGTTCCCCAGCAGCACCCGCAACAGGTTCCCCCAACAGACCCCTTTTCTCGCACCAAATCCACGGGCTTTGCACCTCAAAAGCTTCAGGACCACACAGTGGAGGTGGGGCACAGGAGAAGAGGGAAGGACTGGGAGTGGAGAGGCATAAGGAGCCAGGCCCAGACATCAGGAGGCCATCGGACCATGTGGGCAGGGGGCCTCAGGACGAGCAGGAGGCTGAGGAACACCTATGGGTGGGCGGTGGGCTAGAATCTGGGGATCAAGAGAAGGGACAGATGGGTTGGGGACAGAAAGGATCAGTGGAGGCCAGCAGGATCTGGAGTGTGGGGGTCAACAGAGTAGGATCTGGAGTATGATGGACACGGACAGAGCCTGGAGGTCCAAAGCAAAAGGTCGGTGGGGTTGGGGTCCCGGGGTCCACAGCGCGAGGCCCGCGGACTGCAACACTTCCCCAGCGTGGAGGCGGGGTCCCAGGGCGAGGCGGGGGCCGGAGCTCACGGTCCGCGGGACCTCCGGCGAGAAAGCCGGGTCACTGGGGGTCACCAGGGTCCGGAGCTCGCCGTCGGCGGGTGTGGCACGGCGGGGTCCCCGGCGCGGGACAGGGCTCACGGGGGCCCCGAGCTGGGGAGGGGTTGTGGGGTCGCGTGGGGCGGATACCCGGGCGGCGGGCGCGCGCGTAGTTACCTGCGCTCCGCCTGGGGCCCGCGGGCGGCAGCGGCCGGCCTCAGCAGCGCGGCGTCCCCCGCTCCGGGCCCCGCGCGCGCTCACGGTCCGGCTCGGGCTCCGGCGCCCGTTCGGGCCCCCGCTCCGGCTCCCGCGCCGACGGGGCCGGCCTCGGCATGTTCGGCGGGAGGGCCGGGCTCGCCGCTCCGCCGCGCCCGCTCCGGGGCCCGCGCGCCTTACGCCGCCAGCGTCGGCCAGCGGGGGGCGGCGGCCTGAGCGCGCCACTGCGCAGACGCAGCTGGGGCGCGGGACGCGAGCGCCGCGCACGTCACAGCGTGGGGCGGGGCCGAGGCCTGTGGGGCGGTGGCGCGTCTCTTTGCGACAGCGCGGGTTTCCGCGCGACAGCCGCTGCGCTTTGCGGCAGCCCCGAGGCTGCTGGGCCTTCGTCCTCTGGGACGCCGGAGGCCCGCGGCCGCGGGGTCGTGCGCAAGCGAGGAAGGGGCCGAACGGATCCCAATCTCCGGGAGGCGTGGCTTCCGCTGCCCGCCCGCCCCCGCCGTCGCCATGACGACGCGTGTCCCGGCGCCACCCCACCGCGGGGTCTGTGACGCCACGGTCTCGCCATCTGATGTCATGGCGGGTGGTGCCGCGGGGCGTGGTTTGCGTGGGCGCGGTGGTCGGTGTGGTTCCGAGGGTCTTGCTGCGCCGAGCGAGCCTCGCCTGAGGGGCCCGCTGCGGCGCGGAGTGCCGCGTGTGCACACAGGACGGTGGTTACCGCGGCGGGGGCTTCCCGCCGTGCTGAGCCGTGGTCACGCTGACCAGGAGGAGTGGCGGGTGTCAGCCCTGGCGTGACCCGCGGCCCGGCCTGCAGCGGTGACCCGGCGCCGCTGTCCAGTGCCAAGCGCAGGCCGCGCGCGCGGCGGGCGTGCCGTTGGGGTAGTTGCCGAAGTGCCCTCTCCTGCATTGTCTGCCTGCCTTCCGCCCCGAGGAAGGAACTGGGGAGGGTCCCGGGCCCCCTCAGTGCCGCACCCCAGGAGGAGCCCTGGAAGCAGGGATACCGGGCTTCCAGAAATGGTTCCTGGTATCCCCATGTCCCCCACTGCCTCCCGGGTGGGCGCCGTTTTGAGGTTGGAGGACACGTACCCATTCAGATAGGTACTCGGTGCCTGCCAGTGCTCTGAGGATAGAATGGCCAGCTAGTCTCTTGGCAGCATGGCCCAGGGAAGGGGGAGGCACAAGAAATAAATGGACACGGTGGTTTCAGATGTTTAAAACGGTGTGTGGAAGGGCACCCTGGGGTAGGATAGCACCTTGGGCCAAATGACCAGAGCAAGCCAGACTCTGAAGGCTAAATGTAATCAGAAGGGTTCTCCTGCAGGTCTGTGGCCACTTAGAACTGCCCGATGGGAAGGTAGAATGGCAGTGTTCTGGGGGCCAGCCCTGGGAGGTGTAGGTAGCAGGTGTGTTCTGCAGCATTCAAGCACTCAACCACAACATGGGTGCCTCCTCCGGGGGCATTTGCACCTTGAACCTCAGCTCTGGCCATGTTCCTGCAAGAGTGACCATGCAGCTGGAAGAATGCAGGACACAGGCCAGGCTGGGGCTGTACCAGGTTGGGACCATGTGACTCAGGACCAGTCACTTACCCTCTAAGTCCTCTGCATTTTTGTAAACCGAGGATAGCCCAGGGGTACATCATAGGAATACACAAATTAGTGAATGAACAACTGTTAGCATAGGACCAGAAAATGTATTTCTTTTTTTTTAATTTTTTAATATTTATTTTTCAGTTTTCGGTGGACACAACATCTTTATTTTATTTTTATATGGTGCTGAGGATCGAACCCAGCGCCCCACACATGCCAGGTGAATGCACTACCGCTTGAGCCACATCCCCAGCCCAGAAAATATATTTCTAATCGTGGGATATTTGAAAAAGCATATGGTGCCGGTGGTGGGGACACCTCCTTCATCCCAGTGGGGCAGGAGGAACACAGGTCCAGGCCAGGGTGGGTGACTTAGCGAAGCCCTGTCTCCAAAATTCCACAGAGGTGGCTCAGGGTGGAGCTCCCCTGAATTCAGTCCCCAGGGCCACACAAGAAGAAGTGCCTTCCGTGCTGACCCTGTTTTGCTGCTGCTGGAGAGGGAACCCAGAGCTTCACACTTGCAAGGCAAGTGCCCCACCACTGAGATACCCTGCCCTTTTTGAGACATGGTCTTGCTGAATTGTCCAGTTGTGATGCTCCTGCCTCAGTGTCCTCGGTTGCTGGGGTTACAGGTGTGCACCACCACACCTGGCCCTCATTCGGTCCACTTCAAATGGGCTCCATATGTACCTGATTACTTTTGGTTAGTCGTGGGGAAGCCATTTAGGGAAAGCTGGCTGGGGGTAGAAAACAGCCCTTTTGGGGGTCTTTGGGGCCCACCTTCTCTGCCTCACTATGGCTACATCCAGGTGTCCAGCACCAGCCCAGGGATAAGCAGGTGCCTTGGTTAATATTTATCAAACCAAGTTCAATTAATGCTCCGGTATCCAGGCCTCCTTCCCCAACTGGTGTGAGACCTACTTGCCATGGGAGGCCCAGGTGACCTGCTGTAGACAGGGGACTCTGGGTCACCCCTCAAGACCCTTTCCTCTGCTGATTTGCATATTCCCATTTTCAAGATGTGCAAACTGAGGTTTAGAGAAAGTAAATGAATTGCCCACTCTGTCTGGGATTGGAAACTCCCACGCTGCTGCTCTTAACTGGCAAGAGCACTGCCTCCCAGTGTCACATTAGGTGGGGACCAACACTGTGCCACCCCAGTCACAGTAGCTGCAGGATGTAGAGCTGTGCCCTGGGACACACAGGACTGACTGGGGGCCCAATCTCCTGTGTTTAGATGTTGTGCACCTCAGGGCGAAACAGGCCAGAAGGCGTGAGGGCTGTGGGGCCCCTGATGGAGGCAGGTGTGAGGAAGCACAGGGTTGAGCTGGCCACCACTCTGACTGGCACAGCAAGAGCCAACCTGATCTGTGAATGTCACGGGCAGCGGAGGTGTTGGCCCTGTCTGGTATTAATGGCGGAACAGATGGTGGACTTGACCTGGTCTGCCTTCTAGAACATCTTCCCTCCTGTTGCCTAGATAATGCACAGGGTGACTGACCATCCCCGGTTACCTGAGTTTCCTGAAGCTTTGGAATTTCAACAGAAAGTCCAGCAAACCCGAGACAGACACCCTGAGCCTGGGCCATGCAGGGCCTTATCAGGGACCCCCAGCAGCTGCCAGGAGGGCGGCCTGTTCACCCACTCCCTAAAGCTAAGTTCAAGGGGTGAATGATGTTATGGTGCAGGAATGTTCAGAGGTGAAATGGTTAGAACTGTAACCTAATCAGGGGACTGATGGTTGGTTCTGTTGGATTGTCTGAATGGATCATTGGGTGGTGACTGTAGGCAGGAGGGTGTGGCTGGAGGGCGTGGGTCATTGGGTGCCCTTGGGGGTTGGGTTTTGTCCCTGGCTCCTCACCTGCTCTGCTTCCAGGTGGCCTCTCCACACTCCGTCGTGTTCTGCCTCAGCTCAGCCCCAGAGCAGCAGCCACGGATCATAAACTAAACCTCTGAAACTGAGCCCCAGATAAAATTTTTCTCCTCTAAGTTGTCACAGCAGTGAAAAGATAAAAACAAATGGTATCCTCTCCAAAATTTATGTCCACCTAGAACCTCAGAATATGAACTTTTTTGGGGAAAAATAAGTGTTATCCTGGGTGTAATTAGTTACATTAAATTGAGGTCATAGCCAGATGCGGTGGCACACACCTGTAATCCCAGCAGCTCAGGAGGCTGAGGCAGGAGGATCACAAGTTCAAAGCCAGACTAGCAACTTAGCGAGAACTGTTTCTAAATAAAATATACAAAGGGCTGGGGATGTGGCTCTGTGGGGTCAATACCTGGAATTAAAAAAACATGAGGTCATAAGGTGGGCGCGGTGTTTGTGCCTGTCATTCCCAGCTACTCCAGAGACTGAGGCAGGAGGATCACAAGTTTGAGGCCAGCCTAGGCAACTTAGTGAGACCCTGTCCAAAAATAAAAAGGACCGACAGTGTCGCACTGTGGTTAAGTGTCCCTGGGTTCAATCCCCAGTACCAAAAATAAATATAAATGAAATAAGATTCCAGTGGTCCTGAATCCAACGATGGGTGTTCTTAAAAGAAGCCACATAGAGGGGTCACTTGGATACAGTCAGGGGTGGGTCCGTGCAGCCACAATCCCAAGGCTGCCTGGACCCCAGGAGCTGGAAGTCAGGAGGGAGCTCCCTGGGAGGGGGGAAGGTGGCCCTGTGGAAGCTTGTGCTGGTGGCCTGCCATTGCCTGCCAAGAGGAAAGAGCTGAGCAAGTCACTGCTGCTGGCACCTGGGCATTCAGCGGGCTTTCCCATCTCAAGTGGCCAGGGGCCCAGTCTCGCCACCCCCCAAGCAGACGTCCTCCGAGAGGATGAGAAGACCTGGTCAGCACCTCACGGTCTGGATCAGGTTGGGAGCAGTGGACAGCAGGAGTAAGTGACTCACGCCCAAGGTTGACGCTCATGACATGGTGTTTTCCTGAAGCCGCTCCAGGGACAAAGGGCCGAGTGCACTCCCAGCAGGGCAAAAAGAGGCAGGGAGCCTCTGCCCTTGTCGTCACCCTTCGCCAGGTGCCTCAGCCATGTCCACTCAAAGACAGAGTAGGCCTGGCCTGGCCTGGCCTGGCCTGCCAGATGGACCTGCTCACAGGAAGCCATCCAAAGGGGCTGCCCATGCACAGGAGGAGGGAGCAGAGTCCCTGGCTGACCTGAACTGGCGTCCCCGGCCCTCCAGCCCACTGGACACCAGTTCTGAGCTCCCCTCAGTGTCCCCACTCCAGCTGTTCCCTGCTCCTTGGCCATGCAGGCCGCAGTCCTGGCAGGCCGAGCACCGGGCTGGAGGCAGCAGGCACCCCTGGAGACGAGGCTGCCAGCCCAGCTCCAGTGTCTGGAGGGCACCCGAGGAGAGCAGGCCTGCTGGTCCACCCCGCACACCACCCAACGTGAGGCAAGCCCTCAGGAGCTGGGCCCAGGAGCCGAGCAGGGGCCACTTGGCCTGCCTTTCCTGTAGGCAGGGCATCCAGAGGACAGGTGCCTCTCCGCTGTGCCCTCTGGGTAAATGCATGTGTGTCTGGTGTGGCCTGGGGCCGAAGGCCCATGTGCTACAGGTGGTCCTGGGACTACTCTCTCCAGCACAGGCTCCCACCATGGTGCCTGACCACACTCCCACACACAGGGCCGCCTCATCTTGGCCTTGAACTGCCAGAACCGTGAGTGAAGTAACCCTTCCCTCGTGGTCACCCTGTGCTGGGGGTTTTGTCACGGCAGCACAAAGCTGGCCGCCGGTGTGCCCTCAGCCTGTGCAGGCGAGCTGGTGGTCTGGTGAACCCGTGTGAGATGGACTGTGCTGGGTGAAGCCCGGGACTGCGGCTCTGCGAGCCTTGCCGGGCTCAGGCACGGGCTGCCCGGGGGCTGGCTGCTTCCCGGAGCAGCAGTGTCCTGGCTGATGCTGGAGCCCGCTGGGAGGTGGCTTTTTCTGGTGATGTGTCCTTGGCTGTTGCCCTGGTGACCTGGCACAGTGATGCTGAGGAATCCAAAAAGTGACGAGGTCTCCCTGTGTCTCCTGTCACTGAGGCCAGCTGTGGAGGGAAGCCCATAGTGGACAAGGTGCTCAGAACACAGGGAAAGTGACGGGCCTGTTCCCCAGGTGTCTCCTGCCCCGACACCCATCCCGAGGCCAGCTCTGTGTGAGCCTGGTGGTGCTGACCTGGCACCTAGGCCCAGGCAAGGGATGGCCACAGGTCACCAGCAAGGGGACATGAAGGAAAAGTCAGTCCTTCAAATCCGTGGTGGCCACAGACTCTGCCTCTCCTCCCATCAAAGACACTGTTTCTATGCTGAAGACCGCGTTCCATCCCCAGCACTGGACAAAAGACAGGGGCCAAGCGCTGGGTGGTGGCTCAGCGGTAGAGCGCTTGCCCAGCACGTGCGAGGCCCTGGGTTCCATCCTCAGCACCACGTGAAGTTAATAAAATAAAGGTGTTGTGTCCACCTACACCTGAAAATAAGTAGATAAATAAAAAGACCAGCAATGCACACATGTGCTCCTGTCTCTGGACACACAATGGCCCGTGCCACCCTGGGACCCTGCCAGCAAGAGGCCGGCACCCAATGGTGGGCACCCAATGTGGGCCCTTCCCTGGGGGCCTCTAGAACCATGAGCCGAAATAAGCCTCCTTCCTTTGAAGCTTGTGCAGTCTGTGCTGCTCAGCAACCAGCAGCAGAGGCAGGCTGACCAGGCTGCGGGCAGCTCGGGGCAGAGTGCCCGCCTGCCCTGTTCCAGGCCCTGGGCGCCAGGAAGGAAGGAAGAGAGGGAGGGAGGGAGGAAGAGAGGGAGGGAGAAGGCCCTCGGCCTGGAAGGACCAAGCTCCTGGGGCCAAGGGGAGCACAGAGCGGGCACAGACTGCAGACCGGGGCCCGCAGAGACAGGGCCTCAGGGGGGGTCCACCATAGTTCCCAGGGCGAGGCCCTTCCACGGACACAACTGGAAGCCAGAAGGCAGGGCGTTGTCCACACAGCCACCTGTGGCCGGGGATGTAAGAGAGGGACCAGGACCAGTACAACAGGACTGTCACCTGGCCTGAGGAGTCCTCGGGGCCGTGGCCACCAGGGATCCCCAGGGCAGCCAGGCTCTTGTCCTTCCATCATGGTTTCCTCATTCTCTTGACCATCCTGGGACCCCCAAAGGGACAGGGCACTCAGAGAGAAGCCTGTGTCCTGCCTGGGTTCTCGGTCCTTAGTGGGACCCCCAGCAATCCCACTTCCATTTTTCCGTCTGCCAAGGCTATTTGGCCGGGGCTGGCAGACAGCCATCTGGAGTCTCCCAGGAAGGTGGACGGAGGGGAAGATGGGCAGAGGACACTCAGGAATGACTGGAGAATGACAATTTCAGGGAGTGTGATGGGGGTTTCATGGGGCTCTGGTCTGTGGTAGGGATGCGCTCCCGAGGGGCCGGGGAGGCATGGCCAGGGCAGTTGGGGCCACGTGCTGGGGCAAGCTCTGAGCAGCCCAAGGTGCCCCTAGTACCAAGTGGCATGGCAACGGCGCGGGGGAAATGGGTGGGAGGCGGAGGCTGGGAGGGGCCCGCCTGTGTCCTCAGGGCACCCATAACTCCTGACACAGGCACACACACATGCGAAGATGCCTCC